GTGTCTGAGGAAAAAAGTACTCACCACATGGAGCAACAAGCAGGGAATACCATATAGTGTAGTATATTTATTAAGAAGTATAGATTTCTTATAAGAAAGCAAAAGGCTTTATTCAAATGCCAGTAAAACAATTGACATGACAAATGAAACAGTGCACTTACAAGGAGAGCCGCCAGTTCCAAACATGGAAGTGGCAGCAAGATGTCAGCTTGTATCTTTTGTCCCAACGTGTTTCATGTGAATGCACATCTTCAGGGGACATTGGTATGCCTTCTAGCGTCCCCTGAAGACGTGATCACACGAAACATGTTGGGGCACGATATGGCACTTTAGCAGTGGAACCATGATGATTCACTTACTCCTATGAAGGCAGAGTCTGTTACTTCTGCTGGAAATTACTTTTTTGGGATGTGTAGTGGGGGTGGCAATGGAGTTTTAGCATGCAAAGAGCCAAACCTTGCTACCTTTTAGCATTATCAAAGACTGCCTTTATTATACTAACTTCTTAAAGCAGAACACCACTGAAGATTCAAAAGGAAGAATTAATCCTATTAAAAAAAGGATTTGACTAGCCTATTCTAGAGAGAGTACTACAAACAAGGACAAACAGAGATGAGCTTCTCACAACTTCATGAATCATTCTGCATCTGAGAGACACTCCTCAAGATCCTCCAAGTCACTACAATAAAAATCTTACACTCTCAGACAACAACTTATTAAAGCCTGTGCTAATGCTGAAGCTTCTATAATTCAGGCAGCCTCTGCCCAAAAGAAAGCAGAGATGGAAGAAGCTGCATGCAGGAGAAAAGAGATGGAAGCGTTGGATACACAAAAGCACAAGATAGCACAATAGTATGCCACAACCATAGCAAGGTTAAAGGTTTTAAAGCAAGCTGCAAGTAAAAGGAGGAAACAGCAGCAGACACACAGTTGATTTTCATGCATCATATTCCTCACATGTTCTCCAAAAACTTCAGCTCCCAGTCACATCAGCTGTATCCCTCATCCAAGATCAGTATGCTTTGCATACCTCTTCTCAAGACAATCTGCCAACACATCCATATGCAGACAATAGGCAACACACCTTTCCATGGGGCTAGTCAGTTACCTCCTATCAACACAGCAATCAACTTTAAGCCAGTATCAGGTATGAACGTCTTTGCACCACCATAACTCCCAAAGTCACACAATTTCAGCACACCAGTCAATGTAACAAACTTTGTTCCACGTGCAGCTGTGCATTCAAAGTCTGAATATTCAGACATGTCACAGTTCACTAAATACATGCTCCACAAAGAGCTCTCCAAGACAAATATCACTGAATTTTAAGCCAACCCTGAAGATTACAGAGGCTGGAAATCCACCTTCGAAGCCACAAATCGGTGAACTAGATTTCACAACTACAGAAGAACTAGATCTGCTTATCAGGTGGCTAGGTCCTCAATCTGCTGAATGTATCAAAATACTCAAAGGTGTTTACTTTGTCAATCCTGACACAGGTCTTAATGACAGACTTTGTGTAGCTCCTGCAGACCTGAAGCCAATGAGGGTACTCTATTTAAAAGGTTGCAAACCTTCCCAAAAATATTTGGCGGAGACATTCTACATTTTTACGAGCTCAGTGATTTTATCTTGGAGCTTCAATTCACCAAAGCTGATACCCACCAACCTGTCCCTTGTTACCTAGCTATCAGTCATGGGGTCAGCCCAAAAGTCTTCACGTTACCTGATGGTATACAAGAAAAATGGGCTTTGCTTGAATCATGGTATAAGGAAGAAAATAAGGTTTTTCTTCCCTCCTTTTCCTTTTTCTGTGAGTTCATTAGAAAAATTGCAGAAACTAAGAATGATCCTATCTTCTCATACGGGGAGTCCATCTCTCTTGGCCCACCTTTGCCAAAGCCTGAAAGCTCACACATTTCACATAGACACCACACAGAACCAGTGTTTGTGAAAAGGACAGATATTCTGCTTGCACCTACAACAGTCCCTGAAAACACTGATCAGAACAGGAAAATCAAGAACCCAAATCACCAATGTCCTATACATAACAAATCACACCACGCTTAAGAATTGTATCGGCTTCAGAAAGAAACCCTTGCAAGAGCGCAAAAAGTTTTTAAAGAAATGTGGGGTTTGCTTTAAATGAGGTCCACAGAACATCATGCTAAAGACTGTAAGGCTACTATTATGTGCAAAGAATGTAACAGTAATGATCACATGCAAACCCTCTATCCATTTTCAGACAGTCCCATTCTGCCCAACGACAATCCTCCCAAGGCAAAGCTTGGCAGGGAGGACACAGACCAAACAGAGCTTCATACTCCATTTACTATATAAATAAAATATACTATATAAATAAAATATACTTAGTTTGTATATACCCCTAAGGTCAACTTAAAAAGTCTGTAAGACAGTATACTATTCTAGATGATTAGAGTAACCAATCTCTTGCAAGATCAAAGCTGTTTGACCTGTTAAACATAACACAAGATGCCTTACCATATACCCTGAACACCTGTGCTGGCATTACAGAAATTTCAGGCAGAAGAGCCACTGGTCTTCTAGTAGCTACCATAAATGGCAGTGTCAAAATATCATTACCCACTCTCATTGAGTGCAACCAGATTCCAGCCAACAGAGAGGAGATCCCTACTCCTGCAGCTGCCTTTCTACACTCTCAATTGAGGGGCATAGTTGACCACATACCAGCTCTTGACAGAAATGATGATATTCTCCTGCAAGACATCCCAAGTTGTACAAAAGGATCACCAACAAATCAATGGGTCACATGACACACCATATGCTCTACATTTCAACCTAGGCTGGGTCATCATAGGCAATGTCTGGGTAACTTGTGGAGGTCTTCCACAGTTTCTTCTTTAAAGACATGCATCCTAACAAATGGTCACATTACCCGTTTTGAACAGTGCACACATCACTGCCATGTCAAGAAAAGGCTTTGAAATAAAGAAATTCAACAGTTTTTCACACAAGGTGATAATAAGGCCCTTCATTTTTGGGATGATACTGTCAGCAACACAGTGTTTGTTGTAAAAACTAAAGAAAAAGCTAACCAAAACTGGCAGTCACCATGGAAGACAGGGAGATCCTAAAAACTACCAGTAATGAGTTCTATCAGGTCAATTCAGATAGCTGGGTAGCACCACTACCATTTTGTGCCTCAAGAAAGAAACTACCAATTCATGTTCAGCATGCAGAAGCATGGTTTACTTTTTAACAATGCACCCTTAACAAAAAACCTGAGATGAAAAACGCTTTGTTGACTCTATACAACAGGTATATGTGAGAGGTCATGCTGAGCCTGAACCACCTATCAATGAAAGAATGGAACGTTGGTACCTCCTATGCTTTGAAAAGTGTACAAGCCAGATTAGATCAGAGTGGTCTTCGACTCAAGTGGTCAATATGAAGATTTTTCCCTTAGCGATGTCAACTTCACTGGACCTAATCCGAACAACAACTTTTTAGGAGTTTTGCTCCACTTCAAACAAGAACCAGTTGCTGTTATGGCTGACATTCAGCAAATGTTCTATTGTTTCATTATTCGAGAAGACAACAGATACTTCCTCAGGTTCCAATGGTATTGCAACAATTATGTCAGTGACAAAGTCATAGACAACCAGGGGCGGACTGACAAATCATGGGGCCCCTGAGCAATAGGGGATCATGGGGCCCCTGTGTCCTTGCCCAAACTCAAAAAATCCTATGAAAAAGGTACCAGGGGCATCTCATGGGGCCCCCTACTGACCCCGAGCCCTCGGGCAGTGCCTGAGTTTCCAAATGGTCAGTCCACCCCTGTAGATAACCACACCACGTAAGTATGTGTTTTTGCTAACAGCCCTTCTCCTGTAGCAATTCTTGGCTGAGAACAGCTCAAGAAATTGAAAAAGAATTCAGATCTGATGGATGTGAAATTGTGGAAAGAAATTCTGCACAGACAATGAGTTTAAACCTCTGCCTAGAGAAGAAGAAGCAATTGATCTCAACAGAACTCAGGATAATCTGGCCACTGCTAACATCAGGCTTCACAGCATTGTCTTGAACAGTGATAAGGTTTATGAAAGCCTTTCCTTGTGATGACCATGCTGTTAGTGTAAAGGAATTTGAGCTAGGAACAGATCTATCCCTTATCTGTCAAATGGCTTTGGGATGTCAAACAACACACATTCACATTTCATGTATTAACATGTGACAAGTCCTTCACAAAATGAAGAGTTTTTTATGCTGTGAACAGCACTTACGACCCTCTGGGTTTCATAGTTCCCTTGACCATTGTGGGTTAAACACTTCTAAGACAGCTTACTTCTGAAAACACAGATTGGGATCTGGGAAGTTACAGCTAACTTGCCAAACTGGATCAGTTATGATGATCGCACTTGCAGTGATTAGATTGAAGAGGCAGAACAAAAGTTTTTGGTTATAGTTTCACCAAAACATGAATTGATAACATTGTTTACATCGAGTTAATCTTCTTAAACAGCGGTTCTCAACCTGGGGGTCGCGACCCCTTTGGGGGTCGAACGACACTTTCCCAGGGGTCGCCTAAGACCATCGGAAAACACACACATATTTCCGATGGCCTTAGGAACCGAGACACCGCTCCTTGATCCGTCTGCAGGTGTGGGCGGGATGACATGCCGTCCCTGTCATCTGGACACACCCCCGGGATCAATTCTTCCTCGTCGGTGATTGGCCGCCGGAACTGTAGCTCAAGAGAGGCACACAGGCGGCCAATCACCGGCGAGGAGGTGGAGCTTGGAAAGGAGGAGCCGAGCGGCACCGCGAAGCACGAGCGAGTGAAGAGGAGGAAAGCGGCCGGAGAAGGAAGCCATCTGACCGGTAAGTGTTTGTACCATGGGAGAGGGAGGGAGCGAGCGAGCCAAGGCTGGAGCAGGGGTCAGCAAGGTAAGCATCATTGGTGTCAGTGGGAGGAATAGTGCCCAATCATTGGTGTCACTATTACCAATGATGGGGCACTATTCCTCCCCCCACTGACACCAACGATGGGGCACTATTCCTCCCACTGACACCAACGATGGGGCACTATTCCTCCCACTGACACACCAACGATGGGGCACTATTCCTCCCACTGACACCAATGTTGGGGCACTATTGCTCCCCCTGATACCAATGATGGGGCACTATTCCTCCCACTGACACACATGATGGGGCACTATTCCTACCACTCCCCCCACTGACACCAACGATGGGGCACTATTCCTCCCACCCACTGATGGGGCACTACTCCCAACCAGTGATGGGGCACTATTCCTCCCACTGACACCAATGATGGGGCACTTTTCCTCCCACTGACACCAATGATGGGGCACTATTCCTCCCACTGACACCAATGATGGGGCACTATTCCCCCCACTGACACCAATGATGGGGCACTATTCCCCCCACTGACACCAATGATGGGGCACTATTCCCCCCACTGACACCAATGATGGGGCACTATTCCCCCCACTGACACCAATGATGGGGCACTATTCCCCCCACTGACACCAATGATGGGGCACTATTCCTCCCACTGACACCAAGTGATGGGGCACTATTCCTCCCCCCACTGACACCAGTGATGGGGCACTATTCCTCCCCCCACTGACACCAACGATGGGGCACTATTCCTCCCCCCCCACTGACACCAACGATGGGGCACTATTCCTCCCCCCACTGACACCAACGATGGGGCACTATTCCTCCCCCCACTGACACCAACGATGGGGACACTATTCCTCCCACTGACACCAACGATGGGGCACTATTCCTCCCCCCACTGACACCAACGTGGGGCACTATTCCTCCCACTGACACCAATGATGGGGCACTATTCCCCCCACTATGACTATTTCTACACCAATGATGGGGGCACTATTCCTACCACACAATGACTATTCCTCCCAATGATGGGGCACTATTCCTCCCACTGACACCAATGATGAGGCACTACTCCTCCCACTGACACCACCATTCCTCTCCACTGACACCAATGATGAGGCACTATTCCTCCCACTGACACCAATGATGAGGCACTATTCCTCCCACTGACACCAATGATGTGGCACTATTCCTCCCACTGACACCAGTGACGTGGCACTACTCCTCCCACTGCAAAATTACAGTTATGAAGTAGCAACAAAAATAATTTTATGGTTGGGGGTCACCACAACATGAGGAACTGTATTAAGGGGTCGCGGCATTAGAAAGGTTGAGAACCACTGTTCTTAAAAGACTAAAGATTGCCATAAGCGCATTAAAAATATAGAGAGGTGAGTAGAGTAGAAGCATAGCAATCAGTTGTATAGCTATCTGCACTTCACATGTAGATGTTGCACACATTTACACGTCTCTCACTGCAGGATTTTGACACATTTATGTAAGAGCTGTGAATGTTGAAAATATAAAAAATGTATTTGAAATCTGAATATTAAACATTTTTTTTTCCTGCTGCTTACAGAAAATTTCAGCCTTCCCGACAAGAGCAATGATAAGCAATGCAGGCATCAGGTACTCAGGACTGAGAAAGGACAGGTTATCAAACTTGTCACACTTTAGTCACAGAGGCCTAGATTAGTGGCTCCCTTGAGGCATTAGTCTGATGTATTATACAGCTTGTCCTGCAGATCCTACACTTGCTTTCCATGTAATGGGATTTGTACTGATTATGCCTAAAATGGCACCATGTTGCATCGTTACAAGGGACTAGTTAGAATAGTGAGATGACATGTGTTTTCAGTTTGAGATTTACATGTCAGAGTTCTTAGCAGCAATGCCTTCTATATTATGGTTAGATACACAGTGGATTTCCCGTTGCTTCAGCTGACTGCGGATGCTCCCAGTCATTGCGGGGTCAGCTGGACTTCAGTCAGGAAATGCTGCTGGATCATCTTACAGGGCGGGTATGGAATAGAGATCTTAAAACAAGCAATGGCTTAGATTACCTTTCACTGCTTATGCAGCAATACTTCATATCCTGTTATCTGCCAGCTGCAAGAGTTCCTCTTTATAGGAACAAGGTTTCTCACTTAAAACTATTTTTTTCTTATCTTACTACTGGCAACTTTCTCTGATCTCAATTGAAGCTTTAAAAAAATGGAAGCAGCTATGAACTTATTAAGATATCACATTTTACGAGCTAAATATGAGCTAATTAAATATGTGAGCTAACTAAAATGAGCCAGTTAAAATAGATTCATAAAAGTAGATGGGCATAAATCGAATGGAAATGTACACATTACTGTACCCCCCTTCAGTCCTTGACCACCTCCCAGCCACCAGCATCCTAGCAACCAATAAAATGCTACAGCCCAGTCCAGCACTTTCACTTCGAATTCAGAAGGAGCTCATTTGTGTTTTCCTCTCGCCAGGCTCTACCTTTCACCCTCTACCATGCTGCATTGAAGGATCTTCACCTTTTCCAGATAAAAAAAACTTCACAGCTTTCTAAAATGTTCATTAATGTTATTATCATACCTTAAGCTTTTTTGGGCCCCCCAGAAGCCTGGCCAAAATACTTCTAATTAGCAATTCCATCATCCTGTCTGCATGGAATGAATGGAGGTCTGTAGCATGGACGTGGGTGATGTGGAATTATCACAATGCCTTATGTGATTGACTGCCTGACACCCTGACTGCCAAACTACAACTTCCTCCATTCTAGAACCAGAATATAGCAATTTCAGCCCAAACCTCGATAATTACCAGACAGAACCAGTATATTAGGTTAGGACTGTAGATAGCAAATGTACCCCAAGTATCAGACAGAACAAATGTTGGAGTAAAACAGGACTGACTTTATTAACAAACAGCACAGCATTTGTACACAAAACTTTCCCCAAAGACAGGTATGGCCCACAATACAAGTCCCAGTGGAAAATTACATTACATAAACAAAACAATCAAACACAAGAAAACAATGGATTCCTTCCTGGAACCTAGCAGTCTGGACTCTGGAGGTGATTACACAAAATGAAAGCTTATCACCTAAACCTAATTACAGCAAACAATAGTTGATGCTAGAAAACCTGTGACAGAAAATAAAAAGTTTCTTAACCCAACATATGCTGGAAGTAACCCCCTGCACATAACACATCACTCCAGGATAATAGTCCCACTACGTACAGTATGCCAAGGGGTCCCAGAAACAGTCCTTCCAGCCCTAATTGCATGGAAAGGGTAGCTGGTATAATTCATGGCCAGCCAGGTACCCAGGGAAATGATATAATCCTCTCATTAGTCCTAGATCTATAGTCGGTGGGAAGGAGGCTGGCCCCCAGGCTCCTCCAAAAGCCCAAGTTGCTGTGGTCTCCGGGACCCCAGTTTCCTTTCCTCCTTGCAGTTACAATAGTGCCACATTCCTCCACACTGTGCTGAGTACTCTTTATTCCACACTCCTTCATTCTTTAATACCGTATGCCTGTCATCTCAGACTCTCTTTACACATCCCTTCAAGCCATTTCCAATATTCAGCCCAATACAACTCATGCTCAATTTGTGTCCTGCCAGGATGAATCAGTTCATTTTATTTTTCTCTAGGGAGGGGGCCCAACTTATGATCTTGCTTATAACCCCACTGCATTTAAAAAATGCTGATGGTACAACAGGATCTATGGCTACTTTTAAGGAGTTTTGAGTGTTAAGTACTCACTATATATAAAAGGCCCATATTAATACATGTATTATTGCTGCATGTTAAAAAGCACACACAATGCATGATAAGGTCTGTCATTCTATTCAATAGCACCACTGGCTCGTTTACATGTTTGTAGCAGTCTCTGGAAAGCAATCTGTGCTGGATAACTTTTCAGATAGTGGTATAGGAGCAGCTAGACAGGTATTCAGGAAGAGGTATTTCTGTCTCCTCCATGCCTGTGTTTTATTTCAACAGCCAAAAGGGTTTTGATTAGGAATACAGACACTAGGTTTGTAGTTGTGGTCTTGCATAATTTTTGCTTCACACTGTGAAGCAAAGTATCACAACTGTGGCATGCATACAACTACATCCAGCCACAATGCTATTAAAAAATTGTGCCGTTGGAGCAGTAAAACTATGGCTCAATCTCCTGTTTTTTCTGAACCTTGACCACAAGTCTAAATGAACCCTAGGGCTAAGTTCACACTAGCTTTGTAAGCAGGCATTTTCCAAGTGTTTGAAAATTATCAAAATCATACACATGGCAGCACACAGTGCTGTTCACACTGAAGAGTTAGCATCACGTCACGGCAAAATCGACGCCTCATGTTGAGTCAGTAGGAGTTGAAGCCTTTCAACACCTCCCATTCAAGTCTATAGTGATGCTTCTCAAATGACAGGCAGGTGTTTGTGGGGCGTTAATACCATTAACTTCTTTATAGGCGTTTGTGATGCAGTTGTAATGCTTGGAAAACGCCTAGGAAACGCCTCATAAATGCACATAGGGCGTTTGGATAGCGTTTTTAACACTCCTCAAATGCTCCCCAAACACCTGTCAAACACTATAGGGATCTTTAAGAAGAAATCAAGTGGGAACAAGCCCTTAAGCTGCAAGAGTTTGAAAAATGCCCTGGGCAGGATGCACAGATAAAAACAGTGTAAATGACTATTACAGTACAGATCTCATTGTGTAATTTGTGTAAAAAGGCAGTAAACGGCAGTTAAAGGAAATGTGTCTTGAGATGAACATGGAGGCTGCTATTGCCACTTTTCTGAAAATGCTAGTTTGCTAGATGTTGTACCATTTCTCTAATTTAAATAAATGACCAAAGAACAAGTATGCAGATAAGGACGTCTGACTTTTCTTCAACTTTCTTGATTTAAAAATTCAATCTAAGTTTTTGATTGCAAACATTGAGTCACTAGAACAGCCAGGCAACTGCCATTTCCAGATGAGGGTCAGCTATACCAGCACCACATTTTCTTTCTGCCAGATTTTCTTTAACACAAACGCTCAAGTATGAGCAGGATCTAATACCGTTGGAAGACAGAAATGTCACTGCTTTCAGACTTTTTCGTTTTAACAATTTGGCATTTACAAATTAACTGTGACATAGCATTTTAAATGTTAATTTCACTTTATATTATAGTACCCAAGCTATTCATTTTCTGCTTACTTTATTGGTAAAAAAAAAAAAGAAAGATATGAAACAAAAAGTGAGCCTGTATAATTTCTTCCAATCCATCAGCAGGAACCGTGGAATGTAATGAAAATAAACATTTGCAGAGCTATACAGTTACAGTTATTGTTATTTGTTATCTAAAACAAACATAGAATATATTTAATAGGAATAGAAAACTTATATTGAAAGCTTCAAATACTCGAGGATCATTTCACCCAAAAGTGATAGCTTACCTATGGGTGGAACCTGGTAGACCGAGTCTGCTCCTGGCTTTCTTTATGTCTTTAATACTTCAGCAGCAAAATCTTTCCTCCAAAGTTCCGGATTGTTCCAGGACACCAGGGACCAGGGGCGGACTGACAACTCATGGGGCCCCCGGGCAATAGGGGATCTTGGGGCCCGTGTCCTTGCTCAAACTCAAAAAAAGCCTATGATAAAGGTACCAGGGGCATCTCATGGGGCCCCCTAATGACCCCAGGCCCTCGGGCAGTGCCCGAGTTTCTAAATGGTCAGTCTGCCCCTACCTGGGACATTAGAGTTTTCCCATCCACTTTTTGGTGGGGGAGTGGGACTCCATCATTATGGTTAACCCCCAAAGGGCAAATGTCTCTCCAATACATTTTCAAGACACTGTCAGATGGGATTTCTTAAGAACCAATAAAACTGCACAGTGGCATATGCAACAACAATGTGATTTTTTTTTTTTTTTTTTTTTTTTTTTTTTTTAGGAGGAAGAAGAAGAAATCAAACTTGAAATAAACATGCTGAAGAAGTACTCACATCACAGAAACATTGCTACATATTATGGAGCATTTGTCAGGAAAGGCTTAGCAGGCCAGGATGACCAACTTTGGGTAACTGAAAACTGTAACACCTACATAACTTTATTACTGAAAGGGAATAAATAATAGAATTTGCTTGGTGGATCCACATGTATTAGCTTACTCCATGAAGGATCTGGTAATCTGATGTCCCCATTACATTTATATACTAAATAGGGCCACTGTATGAAAAAATAAAAGCACCTGAGGGAAACTAGGTAAAGTTTTATTGAGAAATAGTCATTTCCTAGTACCTTCCAAAACTGAAAAAATCAGTTCTGGGTAGACTGAGCCTTTAAAGGGTATTACCTCTTTTGCAGCTAACTTAAGATAATACCTACTATATTTGTTACATGTTCTCACTCATAGCATAGCTTAAAAATATTTAAAAATCGTTGTTTACATTTTTACTTTTTCTTTTTGAAAAAGCCAAAGCTGAAGTTTTGTTTCCTGCAATGTTATGTTAAAGTAGCCAAACTTATTTATTTTGGATAACATAGGGAAGGGTTATAACACCTGTGTTATTGTCATCTATGTCCCATTGGAATGTTTCCCCTTCACTTTCTATCCCATATTCACAACAGGTGACGAAATCCCTCCAAACTGAAGGAAATCCCTGGTACAGGAGGGTCATGAAAATTAGTGTCCTGCTGGGAAGGTTTTTGCCATATTTCGGGTACCACTCAAATTGTGGAATTTCACTTTAGGTGAAAGCAGTCACCAGGAAAATTAGAGAGGATGAAACTCCCTATTGGGGACACTGACAGCAATGCAAATCTGACAGGTGTTGTAATCCCTCTCCACTCCATCTAAAACTAACAAAAGATTTCCTTCAGTTATACGTTAAGGAGGTGGCCGAGGAGCAGTAGCATCCCTAGGCAAGTGCGGGGGTGGTCAACTGGACCTGCTCCATGAAAAGGTAAGTTGTAAAGCAAGCTGACAATCCCCACAGGATGGTTCGGATCTGCGGATTGAGCATAATGAATTGGAGTCCAATCCATTATGCTCCCCAATCCGCAGATCCTATCCATCCTGCGGGGATCGTCGGCATGCAACCTATACGGGTTGACACCGGACCTGCTCCACGAAAAGGTAAGCTGTAAAGAAAGCCGATGATCCCAGCAGGATGGATCGGATCTGTGGATTGGGGAGCATAATGGATCGGAATCCGATCCATCATGCTTAATCCGCAGATCCGATCCATTCTGTCGGAGGGGGTGTCACCAAGTGTTATCGTACCGGGTGACACCAACCCCAGGGACACCCCTGCTGAGGAGTTAATGTTTACCATAAATAACCCTGTCTATATTGTGCTGCCACATCTCATTCTTCGTTGTAAACTTAAAGAGGAGCTCCACCCAAAAGGGGAAGGTCCGCTTTAAGAACTGCTCCCCCGCTCCCCATTAAGGATTGGCACCTTTGGGGGCAGGGGGGGGCGGGTACCCGAATTTGACAGGTACCCGCTCCCACTTCCGGTCTAGGCGATCGGAAATGGAAGGTCTCCTCCCTCCCTGTAGTCTTTTGGGACACGTGACAGGTCCCAGAAGACTATAGGACCATTCATGAAGCGCAGCGCTACTCGCGCATGCGCAGTGGGTACCAGGCTGTGAAGCCGCAAGCTGTCACAGCCGGGTGCCCACACTGATTCCGGCCTCCAGGAATACAGGACGGACAGTGAAATGGGCTGCAGGGGACACACCACGGGACCGAGGGACAGGTAAGTGGCTGTTTTTTAAAAGTCAGAAGCTACAGTTTTTGCAGCTGCTAACTTTTCTTTTTTGACAGCGTGAGTGGAACTCCGCTTTAATCTGAACACTGTTGTATCAAAGGGTAAAGATCTCAGGGCTCGTATTCTGCATTGTAGGGAAACTATCTTTCCCCACTTTGTTTCCCCTCCACTTTTGCTTTCAAATTGTTCAGAATAGATTGCAGTCTGCCCAAAGGCCTGCTCCAAGAAACTAGAGAGTTAAGAAATATATATGAAAAAAACCCACAAAAATATATTGGGGTATTCTCAATTTGACTGCAAAAGTGGAAATAAACTTGCTGCATTTTTCAAGATATACCCCATAATTATGAGAAAATCTGGTTTCCTTGGATTAAGCCATATCTCTCATGAGACTTTGATAAATCGTTGTTACATTGATGATCTAATTACTTTCTCATATTGATGTTCTCTCTCTTGGTCCTGATTCCTGACTTCCTCTCTGCTTCTCCCTTTCTTTTCTATTTTCCCCTTCACTTATCCCTTGACTTTCACATCTACAACATTATTATTATTATATAGGATTTATATAGTGCCAACAGTTTGCTCAGCACTTTACAATATAAACATGATAGTTTTTTAAGGTATAACCGTAATTGTACTATTATATACTTCTCTGTATTATTGACTATATAACCTTTATTATCATTCATTATAATTCTTTATGGTTTGTAATAGCTAGCTAGGATTGTATGTGATTCTTTTTTTTCCAACAAATGCTATTGATTAATGATATAAAAAAGAAAATAACTTGTTGTGGTTACATATGATGAGTGAGAAGATTCACAGTATATAGAAGTATAAGGTGATATATTTTAAAATGGAAACTTCAAACAAGAACTGTACATTTTTAATGGAAAATATAAGTGGAAATACACTTTGGCATGGATTTACTAAAACCGGAGAGTGCAAAATCAGGTGCAGCTGTGCATGGTAGCCAATCAGCTTTTGCTTCTAGCTTGTTCAATTAATTTTTGGCAAAAATAAAACTTGGAAGCGGATTGGTTTCTATACAGATCTGCACCAGATTTTTCACTCTGCAGGTTTAGTAAATCAGTCCCATTCATTCATCATGCATCACTTACAACCTGCTTGAAAAAGTTTGAAAAAAGTTTTTTTTGGTTACTGAACAAGTTGAAGAAACAAAGAAAACCCAGCTAGAATACTGATAAAATAGGAATCCATAACCACAGCACAATACCGATATCTACAAGCACAGGTTTATTTTTTTTCCTCTCTCCTAATTTGCTGAGCTACTTTCAAGAGTGCAGCCTTCTTGTAAAAGGTCAAACACCAATAGTGCTATTTGGAAGTAATAACTTTGTTTCAGGTCATGTTGCCTAAATGGAATACCAAGACCTACAGTTCATGTTTACGAAGAGTCCAACTTTCTAAGCGTTTTCCGTGAGCTTTATAAAACAAACTACAATGATGAAGTCACCCGAGTAGGTATATTTATCTGTGGGTATTGCTGCTGGATAAAATGTATTGTCTCTTACAGCTGGTAATGGAGTACTGTGGAGCAGGGTCTGTTACAGACTTGGTGAAAAAGACAAAGGGGAATTGCTTTAAGGAAGACTGGATTGCATATATTTGCAGAGAAGTTCTAAGGGTGAGCTCCTACATTTTAATTTTAAAGTCTGAATGAATAATAACTATATAAATAGGTAAAGGTGTTACTATACTGTTATTTTATCTAAAACCAATGCTATGCTAGGCACTTGTGAATAATAATGCCTTTTTCTAGTAGCCCCATCCTTTTAGTAAAAAATCTCTCACCAACAGAGAAACTCTGTTTTCCAGTTTTTCAGCTTCTGACTTACTAGAGGAGCACTCATGTATCCACTCACTGGATCCAGGTCCTGCACTGTTCATTTTTTATTAGCTCAAAGCAGTGGTCTCCAAACTACAGCCCTTTGCTATGCCTCTCACTGACACCAACAGTGGGGCATTCTTCCTGATACAGATACCAATTAATATTACTACTATTATTCCCACTAATATCAATGATTGGGCTCTATTAGTGGGTACTATCCCACTTATGCCAACAATGAGGTACTATTCCTCCCACTAATACCAAACAATGGGGTACTATTCTTTCCACTAATACCAACGATGGGGCACTATTGCTCCTGCTGATACCAGTGATGGGGCACTTTTCCTTCCACCAACACCAACAATGAGGCACTGTTCCTCCCACTGATGTCAACAATGGAACACTTTTTATCCAACTGATACATCATTTCTTGCACTGTTACTAATGAGGTGATATTTCTCCCACTGATACCAATAATGAGTCACTTTTCCACCCAATAATACAAATGATGGGGCACTTTTCCTCCTCTACTGACCACAGGCAATTTTATGTAATTTTTATACTCCCTCTCACCACCACACGAGGCAAGATTTACCCTCACTGACAGTGGGGAATTCATTACTCCCACTGGCCATAATCCCTCCTCTTAAAGTCTGAACAACAGTATATTGGCCCCTTATTTAGACAGTTTGGAGACCCCTGGCTTAAAGTAACACTTTTACAGTCTGAGAGAATATCTGCAACTTCTGGGTATGTGAGAGCATGTGTCTTGCTAAGCTGTGACAGATCCCAGGCCTAGAAGCCAATCACTAGACCAAAGCACTGTCCCAGATACAATTTAAGGGGCAACTTCAGATAAGCAAGAAGCTATGAGGAATCAGAGGTTAGGTATGGGGGGGATGGAGGATGCCCTTTGCAGAGACACTCACTTTTCTCTGCCTGGAATAATTTGTACATTTTAAAAGGAGGTGTACAGAGGATGACAGAAGTTGACCACAATGAAAGCCAAATATTTAGCCTATTTTCAAACTCCCTGCTAATTACTTTTTCAGAATTCCCATTCTCATTCTTATCCTAAGTCACTTAGCATCCATCTCTGCTCTTCTTCATGGGTCTTCCGTTATCTCTACTAATAAATCTAATTTTACACAACAGCTCTCTCACTGGCCATAATGTAGATTATTCTTACCAGTAATATGCTTTTCATGACAGCCCATGAACCCAGAGATTGCCTACTGACATGAAGCAGAGAGTTTTAAACTACTCTACTCTATCAGATCTTTTCAGTGTTTTGCAAAGAACCAAATACAGATACAATAATTTTTTTTTAAATACAAAGGAGGGATTTACTCTGGGCTGTCATGATGGAATCATAGAAAGGCAAAAGTTTCCATTTTGTCCTCCACAAAAGTTATGAGTTAAGAAATGCAATCAACTACAAAGCAGCAGTTCTAAATTACTTATAAATCAGCTTCTAGATTAAAATGTAACCCTTGCTACCTTGGCTGGAAGATTCCTCCATGCATCCTATACAGAGCAGATGGACAAATCTCTCTGCTAGGCTATTGTATTCTGATAGCAGCCTGCATGAGCTGTCAAAACACCCAGACAGCGGCTGCATCTAACTGGATGCAGCTGTTCGGCTAACAATGTTATGCCTGGCTCCTTCATGTTTTTCAATCAAAAGATATCAGGTGGGAGGGGGTCAACAGGATACCAACTAAGCAAATTTTGTTGGGTTCATGAGGAAATGGCTGAAATTCAGTGTTTGAGTCAGCTTTACAAGTGTGAATATCCATTTCCTTCACAAAGACAACTTGGTATCTATAGTAAGATTCCATTCTAAGGAGAAGATAAGACCTGCAATATACTGTAGCTTCCACAGCACATTGTAGTGGGAAGATGAAGCCTTGTACACAACCAACATATTTCACAGTGTAATATGAGCATGAGGCCTAGTATGAAATCCACACAAAACAGTCTATTGGGAGGATAAGGATACAGGCTACCTTGCCTACAGTTTGGTGAAAGCACAAACCAAAGCATACAGCCTACGGTCTAGCAAGATGAGACCTAGCATACAGCTTAACTAGCTCATTCTAGTAGGGAGTAGAGGTCTAACATTTAGTCATTCGGTCAGTCTATGGAAGGATGAGGCTTAGCATACAGACTAAGTAGGTCACTATCTAGTGCTGTGATTTGCTATTTTTAATACAAAATTTTAAAAGAGAAGTATGGCTTCCCTTTTTTTACTCAAATTATACTTACCTAGGTGGATGCAGCATTGGTCCACCAGTGCACCACTGTTTACTCTGCCCGTGCTCACTGGGGCGCTGGGCTATGGAGGGGGAGGGAGCGGCTGGCTTAGGCTCTCAAAAGCTCGCTTATAGGCTGAGCCAAGTGCAGCTTGACTTTAAAGTCAGGATTTTTGCCCAGCCTTGACCAGCTGAGAGATGTCAGCCAACACGGCTTCAGCCCACTGTCAGCTGAAAACATGTCACAGGAGGTAGGATGAACTGTATTCCTGTATTCCTGTGATCCACAGGAGAAATACAGCCAAAAGAGCTTTGGCTGTACTTCTTTAAGTTCTGAAGAGCCAGAATCTTTTTCTGAAATAAGTAGGTATGTCCCACTTGAAATTTTAGTTTCAGTTGAGCTTTGCATAGCTGGTCTAGTGGAAGGATGAGGCTTATCATACAGTCTTAGGAGCCCACAGTCTTGTTGGAGGTTGAAGCCTAGCATAAAGCTTTTGCTGCCCACAGTCCAGTGAGATGATTCCCATCATACAGCCTACCCTGACCACAGTCTAATGATATAACGCCTAGCACACAGCCTAACCTAACCTATATGCATGTAGCACTACCCCCTTAGGAGTTGCTAAGTTTTTGGGTCCCTCTACAGTCCTGCATAGACAGGCAACATATACAGTATCTTCATGTTTGCACACTGAGACAGTGACCAGTCCTTAGGCTTGTTTTGTGATCTTATTTATGGTTAGTAAACTTGGATGGGGTTGAGGGATACATGGGATGCCCAAGGAACTGTGAACTGCAAGAACAAACTATGTACAAGTCTATGGACAGGAAGCAAAAATCTGTCTCTTCTTTGAGAGCACTCCTGCTCTCCAGTGTACCTGTTCAGACCCCAGATGAATCCTCCTCTTCACCCAGCAGTACTAAGGATATTCCCTGGACAGGGGGATTCAGAAGCTGTCCAAAATCAAACTGTCCCAGCGGAGGAGCTAGTTGGGGTCCCCACCTGACTATCCTCTCTCCTTATCCAGCCCAGGGGGTTTAAGATTTCTCACACAGTCCTTCCGAAGAGCTTTATTGGTTGGTGGCTTCCTTCAGGCCTTCTGCTGGGCTGGCTCCTTCCCTGCCACTCTGGCTATCCCTCCTTGTAGATGTAATACAGTGAAGGTCCCCTCTTCCAGCACCTGCCTGTAGGTAGGCCCCATACCCTGGGCCCCCTCCCAGGCTCCACACTCCAGTCTCCTACTCCATCGTCCACCCAACTCACACTGACTCACTTCCTGCTAATAAGGCCCAATTATATCTAAGGGTGTCCTGACCCCAGGTGACCTAGATGACTCATACCCAGACTACTATTCAGCCTCTGCTTAAAACCCTAGTATAGCTCCCCCTGGCTAACTAGAGGGGCGCTACATACAGTGTAGTAGGAAAAATAAATCCAATATTCAGCCAACCCAGGCTAATTTAGTGGGAGGTTGAAGCTTCGTATACTGCCTAAGAAGCTCACAGACTAATGTAAGGATGAGACCTAAGCCAGCCCCACAGTCTAGTATGAGGATGTACTTTCACTGGACACTTTATTAGTTACATCTGTTCAATTGCTTGATAACATAAATTGCTAATTACCCAATCATATGGCAGCACCTACATGCATTTAGGCATCTAGATGTAGTGAAGATGACTTGCTGAAGGTCAAATCAAACATCAGAATGGGGAAGAAAGGGGATTTAAGTGACTTTGAACATGGCATGGTTGTTGGTGCCAGACAAGCTGGTCTGAGTATTCTAAAAAATGCTGATCTACTGGGATTTTTCAGGCACAACCATCTCTAGGGAGAATGGTCCACAAAAAGAGAAAATATCCAGTGAGTGGCAGTTGTGTGGATGAAAATCTCTTGCTGATATCAGAGGAGAATGGGCAGACTGGTTTGCGATGATAGATAAGCAACTGTAACTCATTGTCAGGGATCGCGGCGGCAAGTGACTCCGCGCATGCGCGGAGCACCGATCCATCCTATCCGACGGACTCTGAGACTTGTACGGCGGCGGCCGCGCATGCGCACTCGCGATCGCGGCCGCTCACCCGGCACCAATAGCAGGGCAGGAGGCACTATTTAAACCTGCCCTGCACTAACACCCATTGCCGTATGGTCTCTGTGTTCTGTGTTCCTGTGATCCTAGATTCGTTGCTGACCCTGCCTGCATCTGACCACCGCTGACTTCTCCTGCTCTGATTCCCTGGCTAGTCTGACTTCTCTTCTGCATACTCCGTACCTGATCTGAACCCCTGTTGCCGACCCCTGCAAGTGACCTGACTATTCTTCCGCCTGCCGCCTTGTACCACGCTGACCCCACTGTTACTGACCGGCTCGTTGACCACGCTTACTACTCTGCCATCCATCCATCCCGCTCGGATCCCGTCTTCCACCTCTTCACATCAGGCTCTCTACCTGCACATACCTCTGGCGGGTCCCGCTGCCACAGACGGGGGTACTCAGGGGTCGCGACCTGGTCCTTGTCTGCTCCAAGCCCATCCCCACCATCAGGGGCTCTGGTGAACAAGCAGACTGGGGCTTAGACTCCGCGCCCTGGGGAATCCCGTCCTGTGGACTGCTAGGGGCCCCGCTAGGTGGTTTATAACACTCATGTCAATATGGATCGGAATCTCTGAGGAATGTTTCCAACACCTTGTTGAATCTATACCACAAAGAATTAAGGCAGTTCTGAAGGCAAAAGGGAGTCCAACCAGGTACTAGCAAGGTGTACCTAATAAAGTGGCTGGTGAATGTATGCCGCAATACATTTCCTAAGTCACAATACAAACACATCAAAAAGCTTATGTTCAAAAAGAAATTGAGTTAAATGTCTAACTATATTAGCATTGTAAACATCTGGGCCGAATTTAAAGTGAGCCTAGATCAACTCCTGCTGCAGTCTCATCTTTTGACTTGCTACAAAGTTACATTGTTGTAATCTGGTGACTAGGGAAAAGACGACTGAAGAATATATTTCCTCCTGCGTGCAGCAGACTGATGACATCTCAGTCTAGGAAAAGTCACTTGAATGAAGCTTAAGAACTGCTTATGAAAAATGAAATTTCATTTTTAAATTAATCTAGCTCTGAGCTGTTTTATCTACTACCATAATACACCCCTACCACAACTGTGAGTTATATACTGCTATATACAGCTTCCCATTTTCTGGAGAGTAAATGCTAAATCAGTTCTCTTTGCAGGGTCTGGCTCACCTGCATGCTCACCATGTAATCCATCGAGATATTAAAGGTCAAAATGTTCTTCTCACAGAAAATGCAGAAGTAAAGCTTGGTAAGTTTGAATCTAGCAAATGCACATACTGAGAGACCACAGACTGTTATTCCATTAAAACTAAAATGATGTATATTGGTAAATATAATTTTCCATTCGTATTAATAGGAAAGCTACAGTTAAGTAAAAATATTTCTGCATACAGGCACAATAAAACAGAAAATAAATTGACTTTACTTATCTAAAGTGGGTTTTGAGTGCGGTTGTCTTTCAGGTTCTTCTCATAAGCAACAAAACATGCCAAACTAAACTGTTATGTAAACCATAACAATGGATTTCTCTTGTTTTTCTCCCTTTTTGGTCTGTAAATACAATTAAAGTGTTTTGCTACATTTATTTAAGAGGGGAATTCCTTAAACTTATAAAAATATTAAATATAAAATTGACTACGTATTAGACCCCATTCACACTTGTGTGACTTATTATGCAACTTTGGACATCAAAGTTGCAGGACAAGTCATACCCCATGTTTTGCAATGATAACTATTTATATATGTGCAACGTAAAGTTGCAGTGACTTCAGTGTGGTTCATGCACTACTTTGGTCTGACTTTCATGCAACTGGAGGGCCATAGACTTCAATGTTCAGCCTCAAAAGTTGCATGAAAGCCTCACCTGAATGTTTTGCATGCAACAGTGGTGCAACAATGGGTCCAACTTTGCAGAGGGACAAGTCACATCCAAGTCATACCCATCCAATGTTGCATCGAAGTTTCCTCAAACTTGCAATCCAAAATCATGCAGCTTTGGAGTTGTTTAAGTGTGAATGGAGCCTAATGGATAGAACTACAGTTGAATGAAACCATTATAGTTGATCTCCACACATAAAGCTTAATACACCTTTACAGGGGCGGACTGACAACTCATGGGGCCCCCGGGCAATAGGGGATCATGGGGCCCCTGTGTCCTTGCCCAAACTCAAAAAAGCCTATGAAAAAAAAAAAAAAAGTACCAGGGGCATCTTATGGGGCCCCCTACTGACCTCGGGCCCTCGGGCAGTGGCCAAGTTTCCAAATGGTCAGTCCGTCCCTGCACCTTTACAAAAATACATAGGCTACATGGCAGCTGTGTTATCTGAAAAAGATTTTCATTTCTGTCCATCCAATCTGGAAATCTGCACAGGCCTGTCAGATTGTACATCCAGGCTGACTGCCTAGCTTTTCTATGCCACAGTTAAAGAGACTCTTTCATTTAAAAAAAAAAAAAAAAAAAAACTTCCAACAGAATAGTTACCTGCAAAAGGAGACTAAACATTTACCCCTCCTGGTGTCTGTGCAATTGAACACTCTCCTAGAAAATGTATTGAGCAATATCGATGACACATGAAACAGACACTCCCAAAGGTCCTGGACTATGCAGGTAACTTTTATGTTGGGACTTATTTAACCCTTTCACTGCCAGGTCTGGACCTACAGCACTGCTTCCAGCTGGCCAGGTCCATACGACGTACTTGCTGAACAAACTGATAGCTCTGATCAGTGGCCGATTTGCTCCAAGTGCTACTTCTCCCCCTCCCAGTTTGGGAAACTGTGGCTTAGAGGAGGGTAATACCAGGTCAAAGTCAGATATTTACACTAGCTTAATTTAAATATATTTCACTATTTTTAATTGAATACACACTGAGAATAAGAGGTACAACCCTGGTGAAGTTTACATCCTCGCAGCTGCCCTACTGTCATGTACCTGGTAGGAGACTGAATCAATGAGGTTGGCCTCTCTTACCTTCAGCCCAGACTACATGAAGTTTGAACAGATGGTTCCAAGAACCAGGAGGAACACGAATGCTGGCAGGTGTTGATAGCAGTACTTACAGCAGAAGATGCTTACCCAGAAGGTCAGACAGGACATCACGTCAGGCCCATAGACAATACAGGGTGGACCAGCCAAGGTTAAAAGGGTACTCCACTGGAACTGCAGGTTCTGAATGTGTGGCTTTTTGGCACTCCCAGCAGGCTTGAAGCAGGTACACACTGTGTTGAGTTTATATAGCACTGCTGAGTTGAGGGGGGGACAATACATGGCACTGGAGTTGAGATGGGGGCAACCAGGGCAGGCACACAGGAGTAACGTCGAGCCAAACTGGAGACAGAAGCATAGTCAGAGGAACAGCCAGGATCAGCAATGAGCAGGCAAGAAGGTACAGAAGCAGGGGCAGGAACATGTTCAAGAGTAAACCGAGGTCAAGAATGAATGGGTAGAAGTATAAACAGGATCCAGGGTTAGGTCGGTAAGTTGGGTTAGCAATGAGAATAATGCTGGATGCAAGTAGAACACACAAGAAACAGATGAAAACCAGCTAGCCCTAAGAATCCTTTAAATAGGCCATCTGTCACCAATAGAAACTTTGGACATGCTCCCATGTGTGTGTGCATTCCTGTGCATATGCATGCGTCTGGTCACCATTCGATGGGTGCCCAACATTTCACAGTAGTTCCCTGATAACTACTCTACAGAAAAAGATGAACTTTCGTTAATTCTATACAAAGCAAAGCAGATAGAAACAGATAAAATGTCTGCAATGATATCTCCATAAATCAGTGTGCATATTCAAATTACTATTCCTCTAATACAATTCTAAGGAGAACAAAGTAAACATAACCATTTTTCCCAGCTCTGCCAATATCTGGCTCACCCAGAGAACAGTCATATACACAGCACTAAGGAAACTACAACAAAACACTGAGTGGGAACTTGGAACAGCGTAAGAGAAAAATGTAGGACGAGTGATTATTTTTGAAGAAATTGAAAGCATAATCTATGGGAGGTCCTTTTGTAAGAGTGCTTGAAAATGAAAGTGATGAGAATTGCAGTAATTTTAAACTGTCTGGCAAAAACCATACGACTTCTTAGTTTTTCAGGCTAAAGAAAACTATACTGTAAGAAGACAATAGCAATAGCAATAAAAATACTAAACACCAAAATTAAGTAAACACTTTAATATACAGTATTCTGAAACAGAGTTAATATTTGATAGCGACCAATGAAATAAGATTGGCTTAGTTAAGCTAGCTGTATGTTCTACATAAAGGAAATGATTGTATCTTTTGAACATTGTTAAGTAAACTAACAATCATTTATTGGGTTATTGCTGATTTAACCACTTGCCCTCCAGAGGATTTACCCCCCTTCCTGACCAGGCCATTTTTTGCAATACGTGCTGCGTTAATTTAACTGACAATTGCGTGGTCATGCAACGCTGCACTCAAATGAAATTTATGTCCTTTTTTTCACACAAATAGAGATTTCTTTCGGTGGTATTTGATTACCTCTGCGTTTTTTTATTTTTTGCGTTATAAAGAAAAAAAAAAAAGACCACCAATTTTAGGTGAAAAAAAAAATATTTTTGCCTTTTTTGCTATTAAACATATCTAGTAAAACAATTTTAAAATTTACATTTCGTTATAAAATTTATGCCAAAATGTATTCTGCTACATGTCTTTGCTAAAAAAAATCCCAATATGTGTAAATTAATTGGTTTCAATGGCGGTATATATACAGGAATTTATTTTTTTTTTTATACTAGTAATGGCAGCGATCAGTGATTTATAGTGGGACTGCGGGATGCATTCTGACACTGGGGGGAACTGACTGTCACTAACATCCCCAGTGACACCAATACAATGATCAGTGCTAATAAAAAGCACTGACACTGTACTAATGACACTGGGCAGGAAGGGGTTAACATCTGGGGTGATCAAAGGGTTAAGTGTGTGCTTTGTGTTTGCTTTACACTGTGCTTCACTTTGTGCTTTGTGTTTGCTTTACACTGTAAGCACACTGCTTTGCATGGCTCTGCTATGCAGAGCCATACAAAGCAGTGTGCAGGAGCCGACAGAGGAGAGATCTGTATTGTTTACTTACAGGTCTCTCCCTCATCCATGATACACTGTGATTGACGGGTGCCGGCGGGGAATCACTGTCCAGGACCCAGTGATTGACAGCCGAGGCTGCCAACGGGGGCACAGGTACGGCGCGTGCGCCACCTACCCAGAAATGCAAAATTACGTATATATACACACACACGTGATTTTGCACACCCCTGCCGCCCTGTAGCAATATTTCTGCTATAGGATGGAGGGAAAGCAGTTAAGCATTGTAAAAATGTATTACCGAACAATTTTGTAGATTTATGTGAGTAAAAGTATGAAAATGTTTATTTCAACTTCTCTTCAGTCCCCTTTCTCCCCAAACCTTTACTAGAAAGTACACTCCCATTTTTATCATTTAAGAAATAAATGTTAGCGTGATCATCTAAGTGTAAATAACCCAAAGAGTGACAAGGTTTTAAAAACCATTTATTGAGCATAGTTGGGAAATATAAGGAATATGGGCAGCCATATTTGCTTATTACATATGTAAACTCTACTCAGTAAATGCTACACATTACTGGATATCACTAGCGATAAGTAATCTGATCTGCCAATCATTTTTTAAACTGGACCCCATTATTTCCTTTGCCTTAGTGAGCATAGATGTCAGCGTTAAGTAGACTATAAAGCCTTGTTCACACTGGGCGTACTAAAGCATATGCCATGGAGGACTGTGTTCACCTGTAGGGGCATCAGACAGTCCCACTGATGTTAGTTGGAATGCAATGGCTGCACGGGCATAGACAATGCAATGTCTGCATTCGGAGACGTATACTTGCACCCACAGGAAGGTAAGATTTAGAGCAGAGTCTGTGTTTGTGCAGTGGATGCATCCCAACTGATGTCAATGGGATTGCCTGTGTGGGGATGCACAGAACACCTGTGTATCTACATGCAGGTAAACATGGCTCTCCACAAGTAGGTGCTTTAGTGTGCTCCATGTGAATGAGGCCTAAAGAAGTCCAATCTACAAGAATCCCACTTTGCATAGAAGCATGGGCTCCCTTTTCCATTACTGGTCACCTTTGGTTACTGCTTGTATAAGAGGTATCCTATGGAAATCCCACCTACATCAGCACAGAGGGATAAAGCATAAACTAAAGAACAAAAACTTAATATTTTGCAAACTTATCAGTCCTTAGATGTGGTGGTTCATTTTTTTTTCTGTTTTTATTCCTTTTGTCTTCAGTTGGTTATTCTGCCAAATTCACACTTTCTGTCCTAAAGTGTCAGTGCTCACTCACTGAAATGGAAATTATTATTATTATGCAGGATTTATATAGCGCCAACAGTTTATGCAGCGCTTTTATACATGTGGGCAGACAGTACATTTAAATACAATAAAATTGACTACAGGAGGAATCAGCTCGTTAAAGCTTACAATCCAAAAGGGAGGGTCAAGTAATACAAACGGTAATAATTGTGGGGGATGAGCTGATGGAGAAAATGGAAATACAGTTGTTAGGTGGAGGCAGGTATTGTCACTCTAAAATAGGAAACCTGTTGGGATGAACGGATCTCCCTCTCATTCGCAACATAGAGAAGAGGCAATCTACAGTTCAGAGAGCCGAGAATAAATTTAACTCAGCAGTGTGCAGTACAGGCAGTGAGCACAAGAAGTTATCAACTCAAAAGATTTCTGGCAGGATCAACAAGGTTTTTGCACTTACTGAAAAGATCTAACAAAAAGTTTTCCAGCATATCTTTCCAGACCAAAAGTGATAAAATGAGGGAATTTCATTGTTAAGGTTTACATATGTTTTAAGGGTCAAGAAACACCCACCCCTTGTTTCTTCGCTGCTTTAAAAAAAAGTAAGTATTATTTGTCCTTACTAGGGTCTAGGTGCTAAAATCATTAAGTTCCCTCAACTTAGCTATAACGGTTATATTTCAAATTCTGCCATGAAAGCAGATTTAACAGACTTTTCAGTTGGCTTCTGCTTATTTCTACACCCTTTTTCAGGTGATTCTGTGCACCAAAACATTCTCTAGCACAAATCAGATATTACACCAGTTAGGGGCCCGTCTTTCACTTGCTGTGAAATAACTTTTCTATTTTGGTCATAGCATATTCTTTGAAAAATAGAAGCTGAACTTGTCATTAAAGCCCTGTTTTAGAGCCTGGATTCTGTCTGAAGGCAAGTTCCGGATTTCTATTGTCTAGGGTCAGACACCACACCGAGCACACATTCCAGAACTGCTCTATGAAGACCATACAAACTTTGACCAAGTATTCCTAGAAGATCCATCCTGCTAGCCTTTGTAATCAAGAGTAACTCAGAACTTTTCCTACACTCACAGGACTGCTGGACAAACAGAAGTCAACACAACAAAATGATGAATAAAAGGCTGACCATAGATGAGACAGGTTTTTTTTTTCATCCAACCAGTGGGTTTAAAAAAAAGAAAACAAACTGACCCAATTCACCCGTCCACACATTTGATGTGGATGGGAGAATCCTCTCCACTGTGTCTTTGTATTCTGACAGTGGGGAGATTTCTGTAAATTGATTTCTGTTGTGGCCAACCAGTCCCAACCGAAGTGACCAAATTTCAATCCATGTATGGCCAAATTAAAGTTAAATTAAAGTGACACTACACAATATCCTTTTTCTCCAAAAATCCATACACCTCAACTGCTTAATGGCCCTGTAATGTATTTTTGCATGGAAAAATTACAGTTTTTCTGCCTCTATATAAAATCCTCTATGAGCTCTCAAATATCTCCTTTTTACTCACACTTCATTTTTTTTTTTTTTAAAAAAAGCAGTGCACATTAGCTGGGGTGATGTGCAATGCTCTCTGCACATTAAACATCCCATAGTCCCTAGTCCATCTCTGCTGGGAGCAAGAGAAGGTTGCTACGTTCCTACATAAAAGTGGGACCATGATGGATGAACATAGCCACGCTCCAACAGAAAGTCAGATAAAAGCAGCAGCAAAAACAAAAAAGAAGGAATTAGGAAATGTAAAGGAGACAGCAACAGTACATTTTTGGTAAAATAATGCATAAATGCATAAATGAATAATTTTTTTAAACCAGCGTTTAGTATTATTTTAAGGCCCTTATTACATGTGTGAATCTGCCTGCTCAGTAGGGGATCTGTCCGCAGGCGGATGACAGGTCCATGTCTGCTCCTCTTATGCAGGGCAAAAACGGGCACAGTTTGCTTTCCTGTATGGGAGGTCAGACGAAAACGCACCTCCTGTCCATTTACATTAGTCTGTCGTCCAATCCACTAGATGGATGGTGAACGGATCCCCTTCCGTCTATTTTCAGTGGATCCGATTGGATTGGATGCAGGCGGGTGTAAACGAACACATTCATTTACATTTGCCCCTCCATAGAGGGCAATGGATTGTCCAAAATGGACAAGTGGATCCAATTGGTCCTCTTGTGTTAAAGGGGCCTAAGTGAACGATTACAATGTCTTAGCTGGAACCAAGATAAAAAGAAAAAAAAAAAAAAAGCAGACAATTTTATTGTGTCCCATTAAACACAGATGTACCATAATTCCCCAAATTAATTCCATCTATAGGGCCCAGTAGAAAAAAAAAAGTCTACAGTGGACAAATTGCAGAAAGGTGTATCCATGTGTTGTTGAAGTGTATTGCAGTTCTGATTTTTGTTGTGTGTGATGATATGAGAATAAGAACATGAAAAACAGCAATTCAGTTCAGTTACATTTCTAAAAATATAAAAGTGTTTTTACAGAACCAATGGTACATAATCTGTAATATTCTGTGTGATTGAGGATATTCTTCTATTGTTTAGAGGCAGGAAAAAAATGCTAGACACACCTAACAGCAGCATTAAAAACGTCCAGTGTGCATGAGGCCTAAGTTATTGCTTTCTTCCTCGCTCAAAAAGTAGTGGTCATGGCTAACCCAGGGTACACACTAAGGCTAGGTTCACACCTATGCAGGCTGCGTTTTTACACCTGCATTCTTGACGCATTTTGCTTTTTTTTTTCTTGTTGCTAGGCAGATTTAAAAATCAAAAATGGAACAAAAATGCACTACATACTTTTCTGCAGAATTTCCATTGAAGTCTATAGAACCAAAAAAGCAACTTTGTGCATTCAAAACTCCCTGACCCTTTCCAAAAAACGCACCGGGTGAAAACGCGGAGATCTAAACATGTCCCATAGGAAATCATGTTAAATGGACTGTACTATGATTCCGCAAAACACTGCAGAAAACGCTCAGGTGTGAACTTAGGGAAAAGCTGTTTCACCCCTGAGACAGATTATAGAGGTACTTAAAGAGGAACTTCATTCTCTCAGTCAACATTGACTATTTTTATTCCTTAAAGGGCTTGCATTAGTAAATAGATAGGAAAGTATTACTTTGTATTCGTACTTAGTATTTACTTGTTTGAAACTTTTTTTTTTTTTTTACATATCTTCAGTTACTTCCTGGTTTTCAGGTCTAGGCAAATGATGTCATACATCCCAGGGGTCCTCAGGAGGGGTGGAGTGATCTGAGAGATAAGCACATTCTCCTGCCTGCATGCCTGAGCTAAGAGCAGGTGAATTCCAGGAAGTAAATGCCACATGAATCATCTGCTCTTACTCAAGATGACCCTGGAGAGTAATGCTAGGGGAGTGTTTTTTAAAGTTATTAGTCGGCAAAATAAAGTATGGAGCAGGGACGGACTAACCATTTGGAAACTCGGGCACTGCCGAGGGCCCAGGGTCAGTATGGGGCCCCATGAGATGCCCCTGGTACCTTTTTCATAGGCTTTTTTGAGTTTGAGCAAGGACACAGGGGCCCCATGATCCTCTATTGCCCGAGGGCCCCATGAGTTGTCAGTCCACCCCTGGTATGGAGACATGGATGGATGGGAGAGTTTGCATTGAATATTAAAAATGAATGAAATTGCTCTTTTGGTTTATGGTGCTCAGATGCAGTTTAGTTCCACTTTAATAACATTGCTCTATATACATTTTTCTAATTAAGTATTTCAACATAGTAAAAGCATACATACATAAGTACAATTTGTTTTCGGAAAGGCAAAGTAAAGAAATGTCCCTATTTATTGGGTAAAAAAAATAAATAAAAAGGATGATATAGAAAAAACAAGGAACATTAACCACTTGTCCTCCAGAGGATTGACCAGGCCATTTTTTGCGATATGTCGCTGCCTTACTTTAGTGGACAATTACATGGCCATGCAACATTGTACATAAATTAAATTTATGTCCTTTTTTCCCACAAATAGAGCTGTCTTTTGGGTGGTATTTGATCTCCTGTGTGTTTTAAAATTTTTTTGCACTATAAACAAAAGAAGACCTGCAATTTTGAAAAAAAGAATGTTTTACTTTTTGCTATAAAACATATCCAGTAAAAAAAAATTAAAATTAAATTTCTTCATAAATTTAGGCCAAAATGTATTCTGCTACATGTCTTTGCTAAAAATCCCAATACGTGTAAATGAATTGGTTTACGTGAAAATTATGGTGTCTACAGATGGCGGTATATATACACTGGAATATTCATTTTTTAATTTTTACTAGTAACGGCGACGATCAGCGACTTATTGCGGGACTGCTGCGGGATTCTGACACTGGTGGGGCTGGCTAACTGCCACGAACATCCCCAGTGACACTAATACAGTGATCAGTGCTAATAAAAAGCACATACACTGTAATAATGACACTGGGCTGGAAGGGGTTAACATCTGGGGCAAAGGGTTAACAGTGTTTTGTTTTACATAGTGTGCTGTGTTTTACTATGTAGACAAGCTGCTTTGTATTGCTCTGCTAGGCAGAGCAATACAAAGCAGCCTGTTCATACTGACAAGGGAGAGATCTGTGTTGTTGACATACATACCTCTCCCCATCAGCTCTGCTGACGATCACAGAGTCCCGGCCGAGAATGACATACAGAGGAGCAAACAGCGACGTGGGCAGGGAGTGCGGCGCCCCCTACCCGGAAATGCAAAATCACGTGTATATAGACATGATTTTGCGCATCCCTGCCTCCCTGTAGCAGTACTTCTGCTATAGGGCAGTCGGGAAGCGGTTAAAGGATAAGTTCACCTTTTGCACAAAAATAATAAATTCACACTTTTTTGCAGGCAAAACAATGCGCATTTATTATTTTTGGCTGCAGGAGTCTGTAAAGCATTGCACCAGCCTCTAAGACTGTTGGAACTTGTAGTTCATTCATTCATTCACAGAACACTGTGAATGAATGAAGCAGCCACGTGGCGGAACCCCGCACGGCCACCCTGTTTTTAAATATTGACAGCTAGTAAGGGGAACTTCTCCTCATACTTCTGTCTCATGAGGGGGGGGGGGGAGGGGGGGCAGCGGGCAGCAGCTTCAGCATTAAGGAACATGCTACATGATCCACCGTAAAAACGGGTGGAACATGTAACATGTTCCCAAAGCTGAACTTGTCCTTTAAAAAGAATTTATCTGGAATGCATACTACTTGCAATGCTCTTTGAGAATTTTACAAAAATATTTTTTGGTTGGAGCAAGATTTTTGAAAGTCTCCAAATTTACTTTAATATAAAGTATATGATGTATATACTGCAAGTAGAATACTTTGGGTGGTGCATGTGTAAAGCTGTGGTCTACTGTGTGTGTGACCTGGGCTAGAGATCTGCAGTTAGAGATTAGTCGAGGCTCTATATTTTCTAGAATTCTTTATTACATATTTCTGGTAGTAGAGTTAGAAAGGTCAGAAAATCAATGCACAGATTCTCAGTTAAAAGAAACAGGATGTTAGATGGTTTCTGTTCGACACACCCTAGCTATAAAATTAACCCTAGCTTATTTCACACACAGGATGTTTTTAGCACCTATAACAGAACAGCTATAAGCCTCTTTAAAAACAGAGAGAAAAATGTTTAACAAATACTAATGTTTGTCACAGTAATGTTTTTTTTTTTGCAAGTGTATCTCAGATTCCCATAGTCATTGTTCACATTCAGATAAATAATAATGATTACAGTTTCACTTAGGGTTTAATGACTACGTGCTATGTAACTAATATACACAAGGCAGTGTAATCTGAAATTTTCCAACCATTGAATAGCTTGTCGAATAACTTGCCATTCCTTGCCAAACCCCAGGAAGCAATGCAAAGCTATTACTACTAAACAGTCAGATTTTTGTGGGAAATTTGATGATTTTGATATTTGAAAAGGGTTGGGGTCTTGAGAAATGTTCACAGCTGTAAAAAAAATGGGCTGATCAGAAAAGAGTTTGGGTGCATCAAATCTTGTAAAATTGGTCATGACATATTGCAAGGTGGTCAAATTGGTAAGAGCTTAGGCAGATGAGTACATAATCTGGAACATTGGGAGGTACAGTAAGTATAGGGTGTGACAGATGTGGCATCAGACCCCAGCCCTTCTCACCAAACTTGTGACCAAAGGACTAGCCAATCTAAAACCGTGCTGTCACGTGCGTAACAATGCCATGCCCAGCTGCACTCTGCACAAAGATTTTCCAGCTAATGGACCACAATCTGTGTACCTGTAGCCTGAGAGCGATTGGTACTGGGTCAGGTTAATTACACAATTAACCCTTCACACTACCACCACCTCCTTTTTGTACAGAGGAAATTCGGCAATATTAGCAATAACAATATGATGTTTGAATAATCGTCTGTATACCACTGTCACCGCAGGCAGAGATATATTGAGGTTTTAAACACACACACACATACACACACACACACACACACACACACACACACACACACACACACAGTAGCGCTCTTCAGAGACAGGGATTCTTCGTTTGCATTAAAGAGCTTTAGAAACAGTTCAACACTTTTCAGATAATAGGATTTATTACTAAAAAGGTCAAAAGGGTGCAATAACAATATTTACAGAAAAAGATGAAGCCAATATATATATATATATATATATTGTGGCAGTGCGGTGTCCTGCCACGGTCAAACTCAAGTTGAAAACCCTGGATTCTCAACCAGGCAGGTTGAGGGGCTCCAGAGAGTTAATGTATTGCAGAGGAAACTGACTTTTCAGTTTCCTCATTTATTCATAAAGTTTGTTTTGGGATCTGGAGCCTGGAGATTTCAAAGAGATCTGGGAGGGATGAAATCTCCAATCCGGGGTCCGTGTTTTGAGAACCCCCAGCACACTGAGTGCACAGGTATGTACAGGCCTTTTTATAGGGTCCTAACCATAGTTCTGGGTTCCACCCCGGCAAACGGAGTCAGGAGGGCTCCACCCCAGCAGTTAGGAGGGCTCCACCCCGGCAGATAGGAGTCAGGTGGGCTTCGCCTAGGAGAGGTGGGAGCCAAAAGCAGCAAGGGGCTGCTAGAGACTAGCTGTGTGCTAGTGGCCAGCTGTGAGCAAGAGCCATAATTCTTGAAGAAGTCTGCAGGAGGCAGACATCAAGCTGAGTGTAAGCCAGGAGGCTGAATCATTGTTTTGTTTGATGGTGGATACCCCTGTGCGGGAAACCTTTATGTTATGGGACATTCTTTAAATAAAAGTGGGCTAAAAAGGCTCTGAAAAAGAAAGCGAGTAGCTGCGTGCATTTAAAAGCTCTACCACGTTGAAGCGAGTTCCCACATATGGTGGAGGATGCAGTGGGCAGAACTAGAGATCCCAGCAATGAAGTAAGTTCATGTGTTGAACTGTGTTTGGTGCATGACTCTGCACTATCAGTGTGTGCAGGTGAGGAGATCCTGCAAGAGAAAAGGAACTTGCCTTAAAGAGACCGTGCTCCATTGTGTACCAGGACTGTGCAAAAGTGTTGTGGAGTGACTGCAAAGATGGGGCGGTCAAAACTCAAAAAAGAAGCAAGCTTTTCTGAAATGAGAGACAGAGCCCTGTGGCTGGAGGGGTTGTTACCACCAGAACAAGCCCCATACATGACTGCACAGAGTTTGCCACAGTGGGAAGTGCATGCTGTTGTCCCTGGCAATGCTGGTGAAAGGAAACCAGTTTTCTGTGTGCAGAGTACTAAGCCTGAAAGAGGATGCAGTGTTGGAAGTTCGGCCAAGATACTGCCGCAAGAGCGCTGTTTGCGGTGCAGTGAATGGGGGCACACTGTCTCCAAGTGCCCTTTATCCCAGCTTCCAGTGCAAAGTGACACAGCCAGACAAAGGTCTGGGTATGCAATTGGGAAGCCTGCTTGGAGTTCCAGGAAGGAGCAGCAGGTTGCCCAAAAGTTCCAGAAGAATGTGGTTGCCCATAGCAACACAAGTGACTTCAGGCCTGCGTACCCTGTGAGAGAGAAGTGTCGTCCACAGAGGATTGTGGCAACGCAGAGATGAAAGTTCAGCACATCTGGAGGAACCCACAAAGTTCAGCTGGGAGAGTGCCATCTCCCATAGCAACAGGAGAAAGCCTGCCAACCAGGAGAAGGGGCTACAAGGGAGATGTGGTTCCCTATCCCAAGAAGGTTATCTGTGGAACCATACCCTGCCTGGAATGTGGTCAGTTTGGGCATGGTATCTTTACCTGCCCCAGATTATGGAATACCACTGTTGAGGGGGCTACTGGGCAAAAGTCTTCATCTGCAAGCCCAGATTCGTGTTTAAAAATGTTGGCAGCCACCTCTAGCAACAGTGAGGAAGTACCTGTTGTGCCTGCAGGGGGTGCCAAGGAGTCAGAAGTGCCTGCCACAGTATCATCCTATAGCTGCATGGATGAACTGGCTGGCCAAAGAGAGGAGATGACAGAAAGGATCCAGATCCCACGCACTCAAGTGAAGGTGAAGCCTGTTACAGTGGTGGGTAAGACTGGTACTTTTGAGAAAAATGTGAGAGATATTAATGCAATGATTGAGACTGACTTTGAGACTCTCTGCTATAAATTTGGGATACTCCCAGTTGGGAAACCCACTGCTGGTGATTGTGAGAAAGACTTGCCTCTGTATAATGCTTTTAGTGGGGAGGCAACGGTTAAAAATGTCAATGTGAAGAGTACTGATATTGGGGTTGCACCAATGTCATCTAAAGGAGTTAATGGTGTGGTGTACCAAACTGATATCCATAGAGAAGCCGTGGAAGAGCTCATTGACACTGAGCCTCAGAGTATTTGGGTGAATGCCACACCTGGTTACGCTCTGGGAGAGCCCCAGGTTATTGTGTTGGGTACCTCGAGCCAAGAAGAAGCCTCTTTAAGAAGCACCACCTCTGAGGCATCAGTAAATGAGTGTCTCCATGTCTCCAGGAAGGTCTTATGTGTGGAATCAGGCTGTCTTTTTATAACAGACCTGCTGAAGGAAATGTTAGCCTTCTGGAGTGTACAGCCGGTGTATACCTTGCGGTCTCTTCCGTGTTCGGGGGAGCTGGTACAGTGGAGTCCCGCTAATTGGAGCTGGGTATTACAGGCTATACAAGACAAAGATGGTCAATATAGGAATTCTGTGATACCATCCTTGTTGGTAATGGTGAAAATTGTCTTTCAGTGCATCGCTGGGTTGCTTCATAGCAGTAATCTGTATGAGAGGCACACCAGAGTACTGTTCCACAGGACAGAGGTTTGGGCAGAAGTGCCGGAAGACACATGTATATGTGATGTGGTTGGGGTCGTCAACCCTAATGTAGCATTATGTAAGAATGGTTTGGTATCAGGACAGTTGCTGGCAGAGTCTTTTGTGACAGCGAAGTCAGTGGGTAGTGAAGTTTCCATGGGAGACACCCACTCTGCTGTGTGTGATTCCTCTCCAGAAACTGCCCTGCCAATTACTAGTGAAATGAGCTCTGACAAGACTATTTTTGATAATGATAAAAAGGGAAATGTGTTGATGAATTTGGATTGTCTGATTACTGTGGGTGATAACAAAAAGAATAGTAGACCAGGTGGTCAGGTTGACATGGTAGCTGGTCGTCCTGAAAGAGGTAATGAGTGCTTAACAGGCACAAGAGAGGTTAAGAGTCTGGAAATAGGCCCCCTACAGGTTCAGGAAGGTCACTCTGGAAAAGTTTTCCAAAGGTCCAGTAAACGCCCAAG